TAACGTTTTGTTTCACTCCTGTGCTACTTATCAGACTAATAGTTTGTGAAACTGGGTAAATATAAATAAGAAGGCTATTGATAGCATCCGTAAAACATTCAGAGGCAATTTATTTATCTGTTTTTGCACGAGGGAAAAGGATGGTCTAAAATGAAAGAGAAAATGTGTCTATTAAAAGCAGCCTTAAAGCAGGGGGCAGAAAATGATACATGGGTCTATACCCTATTTGAAATGTTAGCATTTAAGGATTATAGTATTTTGAACTAACTTTTGTGAAGGGAAATTAAGTCACAGATGTCCTAACAGTTCCTTGCAGCAGAAACACGCAGGCTATACATGTAACGTGTTGTAAATCAAACGCTTATTAACCGTATTCCTGATCCTTCATCCTTTATGTGAAGGATTCCTTATCCTTCACATAAATGTCCCATCCACCATGGTGTTAAATAATCCATCAGGTCTGGTTCACCTGGTGAGTGTGGACTCCTGATGACTTAAACCTGAACCGCCTGGACGTTTCAGGTTAAAGGTTTTTTTTTTTTTTTCAACAATTGAGCGCATATGAATGAGGGCCGAGTCATTTGTGTCTAACAGTAACAATAAAGAGCTCGCCTAAAATTACCGCTGAAATGTCTAATTAAAACCTCCTCGCTGCTGATCCGCACACGTCAGCTCACGTTTCCCCGGAATAAGCAGCGACAAAGGCTGCATTCAGGTCTGCGGTGTAAATAATTAAAAAGAGAGGAATAATTACAGTATAAAATTGTAATTATTGTTGGGGGCTGCAGGGGGAAGCCTCTGATGCTGAAAGAGGAGAGCAGGCGCTTAGGATCGGGTTCAGCATCAATATTGCAGGGAGGTAAAACTGGCGATCTCAGGCTGCACACACACACACACACACACACACACACACACACACACACACACACACACACAAGGTTGCTGATGCATCACACTCTCTCACTAACCCGAGCGTGTTGTGGTTAGTTTATCTGCCTTCACCATTAACTGTCCTAAAAACGTAGGCCTATTAACGCGTTGATTGTTTCCTCCTGGCTGCCCTTCTCAAAATATTTATTTGCTTGTTTTTAAAAGTCATTTTTGGCCGGAGAAAACAGTATTTTTCCACAACAATATTTACCAGTTCTATGCTAGTTTGGAAGCAGGGCCGGTCTGAAAATGTATAGGGCCCACTGTGGCCAATGAACCCCCCCTAAACTCACCACCTGCCAAATACACACAGTTACAAGCTCCATTCTTTTTAATTTAATAAGTCTCTGCTTGTTTTGTTTTTTTTGGTCTTTACTAATTATCATCAAACCCCACAAAAAGACCCAAAACTGAAGAGCTTTTTGTATCTCCATATTACCCTGATGTGGTGCTCAATGGATCTATGTGGTGTCATGGAAAGGGGAAATCAAAAAAAAGAAATAAAACATATTTTGTAAATCATTCATAATTTGGGTGCTGTAGTGTTTATTAAAATTGAATGATGCAGACATGCATGATGCGTTCTTTAGACTGTTTCCTGAGATCAACAGTGCATTTGGTTAATGACTCAATATAAGTTCAGGGTGCCTGCTCAGTAAAGGAATATGTCAGCGTGAAGTTTGAGCTCTTTTTTTTGCTCCTTTACTTGTATTGTGAAAAACAATTTGAGCCATATGGAAGTATAAGATTCAACACTTGTAAGTAGCATTCCTTGTCAGTTTTTATCATTTATTGAGAAATGACAATAAGAAAATCATCACCAGCTTTATCCTCTAATTTTTAGATAACGTGACTCAGACTGAATATTGACTCATCAAAGCACATCTCAGACACAGGTATAAAGTAGAATAAAACCATTCAAAGAAAATGTCCAACTCCATCACAACATGAGCACTAAAAGCAATGTTTCTGTCATAAACTCGCAGGAGACAGACATCATTCTCAGTGATATAGTCTTTGGTGATTTTACTTTTCTTTTCTTTTTTACAGCCAGGGGTAATCTGATATTTCACACGACTATTGCTCTTAACTGCTGCCATTGTACCCTTTATTTAGAGTTTAATGTGAGATTAATGTATTTTAACAGTAACATGTAATATAGGACGTTTTTTAAGGGGGTGGTCTTCTTTTTGTAGGAACTCTGATTATCTGATTAGTACATTTTGAAGTTGCAAATTTATACATGCTCTCTGATCTCTCTTTCCTTCTTGTACCAATGCTTCTGATTGGCTGACCCACAACGACACGCATCAGTAATTAGCTTATTGACCTGATTTATCGGCACACTTCTGGACAACACTGAAGGGGCTAAATACTTATTTTAGGGTTTAATAATACAATCCATTTGGTCAGGGTGGGATCTTGTGTGAAGGTATGGCTGTTTGTCAGATTGTTTCTCCATTCTTGATAATTCTACATTTCCTCTCTTCACTTAACACATTTCCTTCTTGTCATTTTCAGACTCTGTCCCTCTGCACGTGCGTCCACCTGCGCCAGGTATCGACTCTCCACTCTGTACAGGACATCAGCGTGGTTAACCGATCAGCCATCGATCAGGTTATTAATAATAAATTAAGGGGTTAAGGGCAGCCGATTGGATTGATTGTTGCCAATTACATCACAGACACTTTTGACATTTCTGTAATTTTTTTCAGATTTTTCAATTTACGTTTTGTTTGTGTGTGAGTGTGTGTCTGAGAGAGAGAGAGAGAGAGAAGAGAGAGAGAGGGGGGGGGAGGGGGTCCTGCCTTAGGCATCCTCATAATCGTCTCATTTCATTTCACTTTATTTGCAGAACAACAAAACGATTCCACGCGCGAACAAAGCCTCTAAATTCAAAAAAGTAGCCGATGTTATCTTCTTGTGTCCATCATTTCTCCAATTCGTACGTCACTTTTCTCACCCAGGCCTCAGATTGATTTGCGTGGCGGCCGTGGAAGCCTAACAGATGGTCGTGTAACTTGATAAACGCGCGCGGGCCTTTTGTCATTCTTGTTGCCTTCCAGACTGCCACGCGCCCTGCCTCTTGTTTCCCAGCTCGCTCCCACTGCGGTGGAAATAATACAGCATCTTGATGACCGATCTCATGCTTAAAGACTGTGCATGATCAGATGGGCCGGCAAATGGTTTTCCAATACTGAGTCCGGAGGGCCCCTCGAGGGTCTTTGACTGGGGCCAGGGGTCACAATTATCACAGTTATAATTTCACTATGTTTGCGTCTTTACATGGCCTAGATGTTTCCAAGGCAATGCAGCGCGCTATTAATTATTAACAATTCAAAGATATTCATATAAATGAGACTAAGGACCGAAATTTCCCTCCATTTGGGGTCAGCAGGGGTCTAATTGTGCGTGATATTGTCCCTGTTTCTGTTTTGTGCGTCAGAGCAGTAAAATTGTGAATTATCAAAACGGTAGTGTAGTCACTCAGCACGTCTTTGGGAGAAAGAACGAGAGGGCGAGAGAGGAGGGGAGCTATTACACATCAGCATGACAGGAGAGAGAGTATGTTTGAGGGAGGGAGGGGAGAGAGAGAGAGAAAGAGAGAGGGAGAGAGAGGGAGGTGCCATGTGCTTCCTGTCTACACGCCATTCACCTCCCTGGGATCCAGCGCGATGGAGGTCCTGTTTGCGTCTGCTGCTGCACGCAAATAAACTGAAATAAAGACTCCAGCTCAAAGTTATACTGACAGACCTCCTTGTCTGTGAGACTGCCCCTCTCTGGACTCTCTGGGCCTGTATTTCCACTTATTTATTCATATTTACCATCACTTTTTCACCCCAAACCCTGTTGGAGTGTGTCGTCTTTTTACGAGAGAAAGGTATGTATTTTATTAAGAATTTTGCTATTAATCGTGATCATTTTGCATTTGTTCTTGGATTTTTTTTCTTGTATATTTGCAGGTTTACTCCTAAAATATGGATTAATCTGTCAAATTAAAAAAAAATTATTAATGTCAGCTGTTTTTATACATTTATTATTTTTATTATTATTATAATTAAAGTCGCTGCAGGTGTTAAGTTTTGTATCGGCCTCCGTGAAGTCAGGAGCATGATGCATAAAGTCTGTACGCACAGGTGACCGTGGGACAGGCCTGCTTCACCTACATATCGAACAACTGGCCGAGGTTGATCTGCGCAGAAGCTTTAATTATATATAGGGCTAGTCTTTTATTAACAATGCCAGGACGCGCTCGTGGATCTGTGTAATTACCAGGAAAGCAGCTTACAATTGTTCTTTTCCTCTCTGCTAAGCGCATTGGCGCAGCTCAGGCTGCATTTTCCTTCTGTCCTTATCCGCGCGTAAGGATCTTATGTGACTCTTAAGCAGTTGCCGAGTAAGTGCTGAGCCGATTTTGGAGATAAGAGCAGCAGCAGATCCACCTCCGCACAGGAACCCGGATTACCTGAGAGAGGAGGCCGAGCACATGGTGGAATGACGAGATAGAAATAATAAACAAGAAGTCTTGATGATTTCACTTTTACAAATGAACTCCTGCAAAAGCCTGTTAGTTGTTCAGCTATGTTAAATGATTTACGTATTATGTTATTTTCGTGATATTTAAAATATTTTCGTTGGTATAAATATCAATAATCACTGTTCTATACGTGCTTCTAATGCCCCATTGGGTTGGCATGTATAGGCCCACCAACGACACAGCTGCTTAATACTTAGGCTAATTATACAGAGATGATCAAATAACGATAATATTTTTTATTTTGATTAATCATTAGTAGTATATTTGCTTTCCATTTCTAAGGTGAACAGAAACGACACAATTTTACACGTCAAAAAAGTTTATTTTCTATGTTTCACATTTTATGAATAACACTGTATTTCTTGGAGATATTTATGTCTGAATGTGTTTATTTTTGCGTATCAGTTTAAAATAAACAAATAATCGGAGTAACTTTAAGAAGATGCATTGAACATAATAATGCTTTTGCACACCGCTGTCAAACACCCCCAGGCTCACTCCAGCTGTTTGTTTGATTGACAGATTTCCAGGGATGGAGTCGACGCCCGGACAGCTTCGAGACGCGGGACGAGACGCCAGCTCACCCCCCAGTTCAAAGCAGGACGCACAGAGCTTCTCCAGCTCGAGCTCCCTCAGACCCAACCAAGTGAGCGAGACCTCCCTGTACGGGGTGCCCATCGTATGTCTGGTCATAGACGGGAAGGAGAGGCTGTGCTTGGCGCAGATTTCTAACACCCTGTTGAAGAACTACAGCTACAACGAGATCCACAACCGCAGGGTCGCTTTGGGCATCACCTGTGTGCAGTGCACCCCCGTGCAGCTAGAACTCCTGCGGCGTGCGGGGGCCATGCCTATCTCCTCCAGGCGCTGCGGCATGATAACCAAGCGGGAGGCCGAGAGGCTCTGCAAGTCCTTCCTGGGAGCGCACAGCCCCCCGAAGCTTCCGGAGAATTTTGCATTTGATGTTACTCATGAGTGCGCGTGGGGCTGCAGAGGCAGTTTTATCCCCGCCAGATACAATAGCTCCAGAGCGAAGTGCATCAAGTGCAGCTTCTGCAACATGTATTTCTCCCCAAATAAATTCATCTTCCACTCCCACCGCACCACAGAGTCCAAATACCTGCAGCCTGACGCGGCCAACTTCAACTCGTGGAGACGCCACCTGAAACTGACGGACAAAAAGGCTGAAGACGTTAACCACGCGTGGGAGGATGTAAAGGCCATGTTCAATGGAGGGAGCAGAAAGAGGACTCTGCCAATGAGTGGCTCGGGAATGTCCTCTTCAATGAAATCTCAGGCCTCGTCCAGCCTGGCCCAAAGAAGCTCCCCTGAGGTCCCACACAAAAGTTTACGCTGCGACGACGATCAGGGGAGCAATAACCTGAGTTTGACGAGCGGCGCGCGGACCTACCCGGTCATCCCTGTGCCCAGCAAGAGCTTTGGCATGCTCCAGAAAATCCCCCCACCTCTGTTCCCCCACCACCCCTATGGCTTCCCGAGCTACGGCCTGTGTCAGAAGAAGAGCGACGGAGTGTCTGACGCGAGCAAAACCAACGTGTCTGGTGTGTTTTGGCCCGGCGCAAAGGACACCCTCTACCCTGCGTTCCCCATGTTCTGGCCTACAGCTGGAGGCCTCCCCTTGCCACCTTACCCGGGATCTCCACCCAAACCTCCCCCAGAGCTGCCAGGCGTCCGACAGAGCGAGCTCGACTTATCTGACCAAAGCGACCGGGGCACACACAGACCCAAAGACACCAATCTTCAGCCTCTCCATCAACAGGACGGAGAGCGCTGCTCCAGTTCCCAGTCCTCCTCCACCCGGACTGACGAGGATAAATCCGGGGACGAGACCCACCAGAGGAAAATCAGCTACATTTCGGCCTTCAGACCTGTGGTCAAAGACGCGGAGACCATCGCTAAACTTTACGGCAACCGGGAAGGCTATGGCGCGCGTCCCTCTGGCTACCTGTCCCCGGATTTTATCAGCGAGAGCTCTAGTTACAGATCCATCTCCCCGGACAGAGAAAGTGTGGGTGATGAAGACGAAGACCCGGACGTGGATGTGGAGTCAAACCGAGGGCAAGACGAGGACGAGGCGATTCAGATCTCACCTGGAGGGGTGCACCGTCACTCCCCCGTGCTGGACAGGGTGTCATCTGGTGCTGAGGAGAGTCAGGAGCAGCCTGACGCCTCCAGCCCCGGAGCAGCAGCAACATCACCGGAGGACTCAGTTCACACCGGGTCATCAGAGGAGGACAGACGGATGCGTAATGGCTCTCCTCTTCATGAAGTAAGATTAGATTAAATGAAACTTTAATGATCCCCGCAGGGTGAGCTGAATTGTCACAATAGAGAACATTGGTGATGAGAAGTTTATAGAGGAGAAGAGGCCGATACGATGTCATCAAGATCAATTGACAACGATTTAAAAATCTAATGTTTTTATTATTATCGGTATATATTATGAATATAACTCCAAGTAAAAGGATGACTGACACTTGTGGAGAAACTGCCCTGTTGATGTGCCAGTGAGCAAGGCAGAAAGGCCGAAGATTACCTCTTAAATGTCTGAAAGCAAATGAAACAAAAAGATCACAAGCAGACAGATTTATTTAGAAGCATTTATATGTCTTTTCTGTTTTCAAACTGATAAATAGTGTAAAACACTTTATTTCCTATTAATATGCCTTTTTTCTTTATTTAATCATTTTTCACCTCCAAATTAGTGTTTTAAGTGAAACCATCTTTATGGATTTTAACATCTTCTCAACGAATGAGACTCCTGTTTTTTTTTGGTTTTTTTTTAGATTATCATGAAAAATAGCATTAAATGACGTATAATTGGTGTACGTTATTAAACATAAGTGTGTGCTTTCTTTTACAGGTGTACGCTCATGGCAAAGACGGCCACGTGCTCCTCAACGAGCCTCCATCGTTTGGGTCCAAACAATCGAGCAGCCCCCGCAGATCCAACGGTGATCATTAAACCAATTAATGTTTTTTTTTTTTTTTGATGCAAATTGTGTTTTTGTTCCCCTGTTTTTATGAAAGATCTGTGTCCTTCTGTTCAGGTGTTCATCATCACACGTCTGAAACACAGAACCAGCGTAATATAACATATCAGGAGCAGAAGGACAGACAAGGTATTTCATTATTATTATTATTATTATTATTATTGGTTTTATTTATTTTGAATGAAAAATCCTGCTGGTATAATCTTTTTAAATTCTTTATTTTATTGTGCACGACCCCTTGTACGAAATATTAGAATCATAGTTTTCCTTTTTTTTTTTTTTTAGGATAAATAATGACTTTTGTTGTTTTTGTGCAGCCGATGGAGCTTTACGCATCGACATCAGTGTGCACGAGAGAGATCTGGAGAACATGGCCAAAGGTAAGAGGCTGTTTTCACGATCAAAAGGAAACAAAAGAGAGATGGATGTAGCAGATGATGCTAATTATCATCCACAATTAACGCCGTTTAGATTGTTATTGGGGTTCATGTATCACCAGCTATCAGAAAAAAAGAAAGATTTACAGCAGGTCATCACATTTAATCAACACTAATATTTATTTTTAAATGTAGGACATTACATTTAATTAAACAGTGTTAGTAATTTGGTAATGACTTTGAATATCAGTTTTATATAGAACCAAATGAAACGATGCAGTTTAATTATTAAAGACTGTGTGTTATATTAATGTTAAACATTGATTTGAGCTCATTTTACATGCAGATAAATGCCCGTGGCCTGCTAACGATGACGTGCCAGAACCTTAATGTGAATTTACATTTTGGTGGGCCTAAAGTGTTTCCATAGTTGTTAACCACTTAATCACGAGATGTGGGAGTTTTGACTTATTATTGTAAAAAGGAAAATCGTTTAGAGGCTATTAATATTTTAACGAACAGAGCCATAACCCCGAGGCACGGCAGCTAATTATTTTACAACGCTTGGAAAAACCCCGGGACTCCATTATTATCGTCTCAGGCTCCAGGCAGTGCGCGGCAATTACTGTGGCAGTCAGCACAGCAAAGCGCACAGAGGGCTGCAACCGAGGACGTGAACGCACCTGAAGTCGCTTTACTGGGCTGACATTAATCTTTATGTGCACAAATTCAAAATATATAATAATAAGTGGGACACAACTGATGTGAGGTAGATGCTTTTGTAAGATTTTTGTGCTGATTTCCGTGTTTTTTTATTGTCATTATGGTGAATGATTTTTTTAATGCACCACTTTCCTGCTTTTTTATTCAGAAGCACTGTCACTTTAGGATTGTGTTTGAAGTCATTTTGGGTTGATAAAGATATTTCTTTGCTATAGCTTAATGTTTAGACGTGCCATTTTGTGATGCATTTCTGTTTTTGCAGAGGAATTACAGAAGCAGCTTGTGGAACAAGTAGAGCTGAGGAAAAAGTTGGAGAGAGAATTTCAGCATTTAAAAGGTAGGACAAAAAGTAAGTCTGATTATATATAACAAATTAGCCACAGTGGCATTTAGGATATTAAACCGTGCGCTTATAGATGTTAGAAGATAATAAGTTATTTTCTTATTTGAATCTAGTAGTGTTTCTTTAAAAGTTTCCATCTGACGTGGCCCTGTACTCTTCAGATAATTTTCAGGATCAAATGAAGCGTGAGCTGTCCTACAGAGAGGAAATGGTCCAACAGTTGCAGATTGTTCGAGGTTGGTGTCTCTCTTTACTTTGTGCCTCCATACATTATGAATGTAAAGCAGACGTAGATCAGTGCTCTTTAACTTCATGGGAAAAATCTGCCACAAAGGAATATTTGAGTAACATCAAATCAATCAGAACATGTAAAGTGAAAAAGAAATGAAAAGTGACACTTGCATATTGAAAAATTGGCAATTTATCTGCAACCTTTTTACTGTAAATTGAAGAAAACAAATTTCTCCTGCTGTTTGTTTAATTATAAGATATCACAAGGTGAAACTGAAACCATATTGTTTTGTTTTGAAAGGTTATTTTCTCCTAAATCATGCTCTGGAAAATTGAAAAGACAGATCATTATGTAGTGCGGTATCGGTTACATGCAGTAGACAGCAACTAAAGCCAGCATTAAAGGATTGGTTTAATGTTACAGTAGTTTAAATACAGGGTTCAAGTACACACAGGGGTCACTCTAAATACCATAGGGGCAAACGGCAAACATTACACTCCTTCACCACACACTGCACAGCAACTCATATATTTTTTCCCCTTTTTCGACCCATTGTTTCATACTTGATTCATTTTATTTTTGGATAGACACTTTGTGCAGCGAGTTGGACCAAGAGAGAAACGCTCGTTATGCAATACAGCAGAAGCTAAAAGGTAATTTTGTGGTCTAAGAGAGGGACAGGAATGCACACATACAAACATAAATATGCAAGTGCTACTTTTTTTTTTAAACATCTCCATTGGTCAGTGTGATGCATTTTAACATTTGGACACCACAGCAGGATGGATTTACTGATCTGTAAGTCTGTTTGAAAGCAATCCTCACATGCACAAATGTACTATCAAAATACTCTGGGTCACTTCAATTGTTCTTCCTGTTCTTATTGGGTTTAAATAGATCCCTTTTTCATACTATTTCAAAAGTAAGTCAAAAGAAAATGCACAGTTCTGTTAAAAATATATATAAAGCACATTTTAGTCTAAAGGAAATAAATGAACTAATATCACAGAAAACTATTACTGTTCAAAATGACATCACATAGACTAAAGCCAGTTTAAAAAAATGTGTCTCAAGTTGTTTTTTTTAAGATGTCAGGGGAATCTGGAGAGTGAATTTAAAAAAAGGAATCTGAAGTGTTGGAGACACAAATTCAAAGAATAGAAAAATCCTTGTTTGATTATAAACCCTCCACAAACCCTTCAGTCTGCTGGACACTGACTTTAAATCTGTCTCTTTCTACATGGGAAAGGCTGACGTTTTTTTAGAGGGTGGGTGGGGGGGCAAAATACCAAACAAAATGTTTGTTCACTTGCTCAAAGGTGGAGAAGTTGGTGTTTCATCAAAAATAAGAAGCAACCACGTGTAATGGAATCTTCTAAGTGAATTAATCATGAGACTTAAACGCCAACTAAGGCGACTAAAAATAGTGTCATACAACATGAGACAGTATTCTTCTTCAAACGACTTCATAGAATACAAACAAAAACAATATTTCCATTTTGTTTCTGTATTTGAGGTTGGACTAGCGGCCTTGGTTGCAGCCAGTTTACCTGCAGTAGTGTAACAGCACCACACTGGAGAATGACATCACCTGCTGTCTGAACAAACGTTTGACTCTTAGATAGAAGAGGGAAGTTAACACATCATGCTGGTGCAACACTATTTACTCAGCAAACTTTACTCTCACTATTCCTTGTAGTTACATTTGAATTCTGAAGGATTTTTTTTTTTCAATATTTTATTTGTAGTTTTTATCTTTTGTGCATAATACAAATGATACAAGGACATACAGGAACTCAAACAAACAAACAAACACGGCTCAGACATGTACATTAAAAAATTAGGTGAAAAAGTGAAAAGTGAACAGAAATTTCTTGCATAGCTGCCAGTCACTCAGTAAACCCAAATAGGCTGTTTATTAAGTCTCTCAAGAACAGGTCCGTTGTGTTAGCAAGGTGAGTTTTCAACCCACATCAGCTTTGTCCAAATGGGCAAGAAACGGGTCCCAGATTGTCCAGGAATTGCTTTCTCGAACTTGTCCTCAGGAACCTGAGTTTTTCCATTCGTATGGCTGACATCATTTCAGAGATCCATTTTTGAAACTGAAGGATGGTTTTTAAGTTTAAGTTTAATACTCTATACAGTGTAAGGGTGTGGCCGCCATTTTTCAAAAAAGGATCACCTGAAGAAGTCTGTAACCTTTTTGTGGCATTGAATTAGTGTGCGAGCATGTCTTCCTTTAGCTTCAGTACATGGATAGCCACAAATATTCTCCTTTTGAACTATTTTTCTGATAATTTTGTTAAATTTGTGATTACATTTGGATGGAAATCTGGCTTATGAAATCTCATATAGGATTTTTTTAAATGTATAAATCACTGAAAGATTCCCACTGGATACATCAAACTACAAAAGCCTTAAGTTAGCTTGAACCAAACTTAACAAGTTATTTTGCTCAGCACAAAGACTCCTGACATTCAGTTCACATTGAGAGCAGATTTTCTTTAACGGACAGAAGGAACAATTACAACAACCAAACCTGTGTCAGTGAACATGTTGACATCTGAGGATTGTTTGAAGACAGACTTGGGAAAAAAAAACCCAAAGTGAATCCGTAGGTATAAAAACAACAACAAAAACATACTGGTACCTTTAAATGTCACAGCTTGTGAGAGTATTGTATTTGTCTTCATGTTCTCACTGATGGACTCGTTCCTCCCCAGAAGCTCACGACGCCCTTCATCATTTCTCGTGTAAGATGCTCACCCCTCGCCAGTGTACCGGAGCCTGCACCTTCAAACCCCCGCTGCTGCCCCCATAGGGCCCGGCGTTGCCCTCACCCGACCCCAGCACAGCCAAAAAATAGAAAAGATTCACTCCACCACACACACACACACACACACACACACACACACACACACACACACACACACACAGGTCCTGTTATTCAAGGATCACCACCCTGCTGTATAGACACACTTCTGATTTTAGCACTTGAGTGAAAATGTTGAGACTTGCAGAAGATTTCAGCAGCGACCTCATCTCCTGCAAAAAAAACAAAAAAAAAACAACCAACCTGAACTCTCAACTAAAAGAGATCGGGATTTTTTTTTAAAGTTCAGTTTTTGTTGTGAATTTCGAGGATTGTTGATCTGGAGCTCAAACCAAGGAGTTCTCTGAATGGATCTATAGCTACTCTGAAAGAAAAAAAAACACTATAAACATATACATACATATATATATCACGTGACGATGTGCAATGGCTTGTATAATTGTGATATTCAGTTCAAAGTGCATCTCATAATTAAGCTTTTGTTGCTTGTTTGAAACCCTTGAGTTTGCACATGTCTTTCTTCCATTAAATTATTGTTTAGAGCGTTTGTAACACTGTACATGTTGTTAAGCACTTTAAATGGGCAACTTTTTCTGAATCTGAACATGCCGTCCTATACCAAATTCATTTCTTAAACTATGAGGATCTTTATGTTTCAAATAGAGCACATTATTACGAGCACTTACTTCAACAGCTGTACAGGTTTGACGTCTAACACTCAATGATTTTCTTTGAACTAGTTCTTTATTGTTATTTATTGCAGTTTATTGATTTCATGTACAGTTTAAACTGAAGAATCAATCCTTCAATCATTTCTGTTTTTCCCCCTTCTGTCACTTAATTTATCTGGGAGTCACTACAGAAAAACCAAAATGTTTCTTGTTATCTGATGGTCTTTTTTAATAAAACACAACAGAGACACTGTATGAAAAACACACGGCTGCATTTCTTTATTCTTTCGTTTGTTATATTTGGTTTGGTAAAAAGAAAAACACAGAGCAGCTTAAAAAATAAATAAATCCTGGTTTCTGACACAATCTGTCCTTCAGTTTCCCATTTATGTATGTACCCATGTCAATATTAATAAAATGTGGAAGCCACTGTCTGCGTTACAGCCTCGTTTTCTCTGTCACCGGTGTGATCCTGCCCCCTGCTGGCAGATAGGCAGAATAACTCCCCATCTGATAGATCATATTACTTCTTATTGTATTTGAGCTCAACATGATCTCTTTCATTAGGCAGTTTCATCAGCGTATGACAAGTCCAGTCCACTTATAATGTTTGACGGAGATCAGGGGAGCAGGCTGATCTAATAGTGAAATCTAATTCTTCTGATGGGACGGCTAATAGATATTGATTACATGGCTCTCGCTCCCTGGATGCTTCATACTGAGACAGATACTCACATAATGTCACTGACACATAATGAATGTTAATTTTCTCTGAGCGTAATTGCCCTCCGTGGCAAAGCTGGTTCTCTTTGAATACTAACAAGACCTGAACACAACTGATCCACTGAGGGAATGATCGGCTGCTTTACTGTGTTTTCTATTTAGCTGTTTAACATCGGGAAAAACTGCCTGACATAGAAATGTGGTGACAAGCAGTGAGGGGTGATGTGACATATAAATGACTCCTCAAACTGTTGGGGGATTTAGAATCATCTTGGGCCACAAAAACACTCAAAGCACCTCACAAATTTTGTTAAATTACAACAGAAACCTCAAAAACAAAATGCAAGGAGGCAAAAAAAAAACAACTACTTAGTAAAGACAACCACAAAAAGAAAAACAAAGCGAACATTACATCCCCAAAGGAGAAAACACTACGAAGGAACACAAAAATACAGAACAGCCACTCAGGGTGTAAAATGATCACTGAGAGACAAAAATGTCCTCTCAAAGATTCTGAATGACCTCAAAATGTAGTTGTTTTGCATCTCGTTGTTTTAGCAATTTTTGTAGGCATTTAAAAATATAAAGCTATAATAGTGCCTCTTTGAGGTGACAGCCTAGGACCTGTTCCAGGAGACCCGGATAAAGAAAAGCTCTTAGATGTTGATTTATAAATTGAATCTGTGAATAACCAGGAGGCCTAAAAGCTGCTGTAACACTTGCATGAAAAATGATTTCATTTAAATGCAATGATTATGAAACTACAAACGCCAGGCACTCATCAAAATGTTACCTTTTTCCCCTCAATGGTTTTTGATGCATGGATGTTATGCATCGGTAATACATAAAAAAAGAGTAAAGTACACACAGTATAACACATTACAAAGTAAAAATAACAGAAACAAAAACACATTTTTACATAGAGTGTGTTGTGTTTACGGCCGGGTAACTTGATCACTTACTTTGTATAAAATGTGGATCTCCATGAAGGCTTTGTGTCACTATTGGATGTTGTTACAATTTTCTAATCCGTTTACTTTGCTGGATGAAGAAGTGAATTTAGAAACAGGTCAAAGTTGAGCATTTCAATGTGACTTAAAATAAGAGATATACTGGCAACAAATAATCTGAAAGTAGAAAAACTTCTCATACGGTAGTGTCTCCTGTATTTGATAGTCAATCAGGTGTTTAGGATCCTTAAACACATTTAAGCAGCATTTTAAAGCTGTAGCTGGTGGAGGTAGAGATCCTTTTAAACATATCTTTAATGTGAGTTAATCTGGAATAGAGAAACATTTTTAATTAGTCGTAATGTTTGTGTTGAATGTTGATCTGTAAAACAAAAAGTAACTTAAGATGTAAACTGAATGTGCTGGAGAAAAGGAGAAAGTGCACTTGTCGTAGAAAGGAGCAGAATTTTAAAAATCTCAAGTACAGTAAATGTTCCTCCAATGTGTATGACAGTATTCTTCATGTTAGTTAAATATAGTTTACAGTTGTGAGTGATTGTATTGCTCTCTGCTCATTGGCTCATTGTTCTTCATGCCCTCAGGGTCAGCAGGTTCAGTCCACTCTGCGTGTATGAACACAGACCAACATTAACTTCACACACTGACTGTAATACCAAACATTTTAAAGAAGCCTCATGTTTTATCCTCCTCAGTGACATATTGTCTCACAGTATTTACAGTCTGCTTCTTTGTTTGCTTGTATAAACACGTGTGGTCAGAGGACACCTGTCCGTCAACAATACAACAGATGGCAGAGAAACATAAAGATAGAATAAAACCTCTGTGATACTCTCTGTATGAAACTCGCCGCAGAGAGTCTTTTACTAAAGGTTCTTTGTATGAACCCAGAGGGAACGATCGTCCTCGGATTTTAATGGACATAAAGCTTAATGTGTTTGATGTTATAGTGATTTTTTTTTTTTAGTTCAGTATGAAACCATTATACTGAGCATAGAGGTGATTGCACAGAACAAATAGTCTGAGCAGGCAAAAGATTTATCCTTCATGTTGGTTTGGATTCAGCTTCATTAGAAATGAAAGGGCGCCACCTACTGGCTGTACACGCTCATAACCTGCCTTTGAGTTTGTCCTGTCAGTTTCTTCCCCTTTCATGCGTCTGATTTTTTTCAATAAAATGCAACAGTATCAAATAATCACAAAGAAATGCATGGTTTAATTGAAAATGAAAGGCTTGTTTCACACAGCATTCACACGTCCTTTATGATTTGAAGTTACTTTCAGTACTTACAGGTGGGATACATTTTCTCCATGTTTCACTTTCCAGTACAAATATCTGACTGCTGTTTCAAGCCATTATCCACGGAGCAAATATTTATTCAAGATGTTATTGATTTTGTTTTTAACATTAGAATTTCAGTATAACAAAGAAACACAGATAATCAGACGAACAAACTCTTAAGGTGCACTTAAGAACATTCACCACAGGGCACTATGCCAGGTTTTGACAGGGAAATACAGCAAACCATAAGAAAATACAAGTTAGATTTGTTAAGGACATCAACATAATAAAGAAGAAAAAACACATCAATTATATAATTTACAAATTATCAAGGCAGACAGGCCTCTACAGACTTTTCCCCTTTTAGAAATTCTGTTAAAGACCCCCATATTTTCTTAAAGGTACAGACTTTTTAGACTTAGACTTTCTTTATTGTCATTCAAACTTGTACTTTACAGTGCAGATAAGAACGAAATTTCGTTGCATTTGGCTCGTTGTAGTGCAGGATAAAAAACAGCAGCATGTATTTACATATAAAAAATAAAAATAAGGTGCAGATATAAATAGATATAAAAAGAAAAACTATGAGTAAAATTACTATACAGATAAATATATTGCACGTTATATTGTATTTTACAGTCCAGTGAGGTAGTCCTGTGTGGGGGTTTGAGGGGGAATGGAGGGATTATTTTTTCGTGTTCAAAAGTCTTATGGCCTGTGGGAAGAAGCTGTTACAGAACCTAGAAGTTCTGCTTCGGAGGCTGCGGAACCTCTTTCCAGTGATTTACAAAACATGGCTAAAGTATATTTCTGATGTCATTAATCCATTCAATCTTTTTGACAATTCAATATATTGAACCTAATGAAGTTATAATTACAAGATATTACAACCATGCCTGCCCTCCCTCCTCCCTCACAACACAGCCTCTCATCCAGCCCCACAGTCAGAGAGCAGTCATGTGAAGGCTGAAACTGAACCTATATGCGTCACTTTAACACACACTGGACTGTAAATCATGCACATACCTGCACAGCTGCACAGAGCCTCCAGTGCATCTTATTCTATGTAAGTTGACAGCAGGAGCCATGTTGTGTTTTGTTTATAGAGTCTTACTAAGATGCTTATCTTAAAAGTGTTGCACCAAAACATCAAGTCAAATTCTCGTATCAGAGCTAAATGTTGAAAACAAATTGAAATACAAAAATAAATTAGTGTAAGATTGACATATGAAACTCCAGTACAATTAAATGTGCTTTTATAATTAAATAAAACATCTGAAATAAGATATTTCCCCACTGTGGAAGCAAGGAGTCTGAGTTTAAGGCATTCAGCCCTTTTTTAAAAATTATTTTTATCTTGTTCAGAATACAGTCCTGATTTATTTATTTTAATGTCTGACATTTGTCAAACATTTTACAAATCAAAGAGCTAATTACCTTTAAATATAATGAAAATGTCACAAATCACAGACAGTACTGGATTATGTCCTCTTACATCTGTGTTGTACATGAACAATCAGACTTAAACTTTAGACCTGGAAGTGTATTCTGAGGGATCAGATCTCCACCTGTCCTCTTAAAAGTAACATTCACACATCGACTTAAAGCTGCACACTCATTATCACACAGGCTGGTTAAAACAGAGGTTTAGTTTTAGTTGCACTGCAGCATTTCTATATTCCTCTTCATAAAGCTGACAGACTTGTAAGACACAGACAATCTCAGCCTCTGTGGTTTAAATCTGACTTTAAAAGTATAGAAAGGGTCACACTTTCAGAAACACTGGATCCTCGTCCCCTTGAAGCTGACATGGGACTAGAAACAAATGTTTATTTTGTAAAAAAAAAAAAAAAGTGCTGATTCCTTGGTATGCTCTCTGATATGGAGCCTGTGTTGATGTAATACAACAGTGAACTGACATTGATGTGTGTAATATAAAGTACAGAAGAAAAAGAAAAATAGTCGTAGGAGACAATTCTCCAATTGTTGGTAAACGTGTTCAGTGATTCACTTTTGAAAAAATATTCAAGATATCATGGTGATAATTACCTGGATTTAAATGTTCAGGCGACTCTATGCACTTTGAATTGCCTTATAGAAAGTATAGGTAATAAACTGGCCTTATTGTACCAATAAAAAGACTAATCATGTCGCTGGTTTAATGCTTGTTTGTGGTTAATATTTCAAGACATTAAAACCCTGTCATATTTCCCAGGGCATGTTTACCCCCTTGTTATTTTCAGCTACAAAGTAAGTACTGACTTAAACAGATCTAACGGTGTCTGGAAGAGTTGACATCTTAATCAGACAACTGAAGGACATCTACGCATAAGCTCGTCTGGTCACCATGCTCAGAAATGATACACATTTTAAAGTGTCAATGTTGACATTTAATATGAAACACCTCAGTGGAGAAGAATCAGAAAAAACTAAGTTGGTTTTAGATACTGTGCAAAGGTGTGTGAAATAAATTGAATTGAAGGAACATAAGTTGATTAAATAATTTCACATGATTGTTTACTGATACTTTAAATGAACATTATTGTTGCTGTCAGTGTTGACAGGGAGGATAAGCTCAGGCGTGGATCACTAACTCAGTGTTTGTGTTTTGGATTGTGGTAATTGTAGGATTGATGTGTCATATATATCCACTAACATATACTCGAACAGTGACAGTAAGTTTACACAACGACAGCGTAGGGCTCTCCTCCTTTTTCAAAGTATTGCTTAGAGATGTGAGTACCTCTTTTTCCTATTTTCCTGATTTGTCTGGTATGAGGGTCCTCACCCCTCAGTGCCCCCCCTGTGCCTGTGTGATTAATGAAGTATTTCCTATCAGGTTGCACTTAATTCTCAATTGATTTGCATCATTTGTATCATATTTTTTAACAGGTAAAGAGTCAGAACAAGGTGAATTGTTGAACAGATTTTCACATCTCCTTGGCATAAGATAAGAACAACAAACACAGCAGGATTAAAGACGGATGAAAGAGCAAGTGCTGCAAGTCGAGCTACACAAATATAACATTACATGCATTTTATATTTTAAGCTCAATTCTAAAGAAAACTCACCTGATACACTGTGGGTGTTTAAAAAAAAAGCATCAATAACAGTATAGAAATACAGGTCACTGATGTCAATGCGTCATTTAAAATGTAATGTTAATTCATTGAGTAAAGAAACTGAATGTGAGTAAACTGCATGATGGCTGTTTTTATGCAGATGTCTACTGTAATTTTAAACTAGTTCAGCGTGAAAGTGACCTTCAATGACCTTCCAAGAAGTTGCTTCACAAAGAAAGAAAAAGTCAAGGGCCACTTATTTTTCTGGAGCTTTCTATTAAACCTCCCTGATCCTCAGCAGTCGGTGTAGTTTTCTCAGCATATTATTCAGCAAACTTAACCCACCACCAGACTGTCAGTCTGTTTGAAAGATATGTAAATAAGAAACAGGTTTTCATGCCTTTATTATAGATATAGGACAGTGGACAGAGTCTGAAATCTGGTACTGAGAGACATGTGGGAAAGGAGCCAGTGGTTGAGCCCGAACCCAGGCCGGCCTGCATCTCAGTCTCCAGCTCTTCATATTTCTATTTCTTTAAAGGGCTTTATTACATTAAGTTTAAAGGGAAAAAAACTGCATAAATACACAATTCATCCAAAAAATGTTGACAGTATTCACAATAACAGTAATGTAAAAAATAATCAAACAGTAAGATTGTTTTTTTATAAATAAATAATGAATAACATAAAGTGCACGCTATCCCCTTTTTTTAAATGTATTTAAGCTCCTGTGTCATCCGTCACACCTTTGCAGCCTTTTTTCCCCGACAATCATTTTGTGCTCCTGAACGCACCTCTCTCTGTCGCTTGAGTGCGCGTTCACGCAGCCAGCTCTGCGCGTCCCAGTCATGTGACAACACTTCACCACGCCTGCGCAAACAAATACAAGATGGCGGAGAGTGCGGAACTGAAGGTAAGGCGCAGCACTGAAATCATTACAAATTTACTCGGTAACCGGAGCGTTTGCTATTCAGTTGGGACAGCGTGTCACTTATTTAAACCTCGCGGGGATGACATGGTGTCAGGCGGGTTGTTTTTTGCGTCCAAACACAACAGGAACTTTATTGAATCCTGAAGCGCCAAAGCTGCGCGGGCATGTTTATGTTGATATTGAGACGCGCTGGTTTGGCTGAACGGACCATTTCCACCAGCACACCAGCTGCTGGCAGAGCGGCTCTTTTTTATGATACTCTGTGCTTTTTATTTTATTTTATTTTTAAACATACATGTTGACGTTCTCCTGGTTCTTTTTGTTTTAATAGCCGCCTCTGTGTGATTTGTTGTCTGATATTTAAACGTGTCGCCTGCAGCCTGTCAGACACTTTGAACATGACAGCGGCGTCCTGCGCGCTGGGTCTGCTTTTTCAAAATCCCATGATTGTGCACATGTGTGGATATAATCATGAATAACGGTGTTTACATGATGCATCATAGACTGAGTCTGCATGCAGCCGGAGTAACGTTACCTGGCCTGTTCCTCAGTACCTGCTGGGACTCCCTTTTACCTGTTGATACATAATAAAAAAAAACACACCTCGCCTCGTATAACGGGACGCTGACTCTTCAGAGTTTTTGTTTTTTTTCTATCACTGACTTTGCTTTTCATGAAATTCCCCTTCTTGTTTGGTGTCTGACCTGAAAGCTGCTGCTTGAATTGAACTTGCAGTTATTGATCTGAGTCTTAGTCGCTATTTTTAGCCCTTTCGGTGTGCCCACCGCCTGCTCGTGATCTGTGGGTCTGTGCGTGCTCCTTTGTGTGAGCTGCTGCTCAGTCCCACTCTATATGATGAACAGTTTTGTTTAGCTTCACCCCCCCCCCTCCCTTGCCTCTTTGAACAGCCAGATGTGGTCCTGCTACAGAGCCCCTTGTGAGTTAGACTGCTACACCTTCTACATCACGATCTGTTTGAGTCTCTCTTGTTTTATTACATTTTAATTCATGGGGCTGCAACTCTTGATTCGTTTTATGGTTGATCAAGTCAGCCAATTATTGTCAATTAAGAGTATACAAGAGGCCAGTACTGAGAACAAATGAATTGTTTTGACAGAAGAATAACAGCCTGAAAACTAAACTGGAATTAAGAAAGGCAGCAAATCCTTACAATTGATGATCAGGGCAGTCATGAAACCATTATTTTAAACTTCATTCTAAAAATCCAACAATTTCAATGCTTGTTTCGATACAACAGCAATAAAAAAAATAAAAAAGAAGTCCCAGGAGGCCCCCTGTCATTTCTGGTTTTTAATTACCAACGATTGTAAGCAAACTCCTGTACCCTTAATTGCACAAATACATTGCATTGGCCAATTTGTGTGTATTTGGGAGAAATATGCAGCATACACAATTTATACAATGCTCTCTCTAATTCTCTCTTTCTTTCTCTACTGTCATTTTCTTACGGTAGAGCTTTTGGATTCAAATGTGATTAACGATCTGACTTCAGTTATTTCAGTTATCATCTTTACAATGACACATTTAAACGTTTTAAAACACGTGGTATTGAGAGTATCAAATATCTAAACAAATTTCACAACCTCGTGGGAGAGCTAAAGAATCTGGCATTTTCTCACCTTACAAGTGGCTGGATCTTAAAAACAGTACAAATAGTTTGTTTGTCAAGCAATTAAACAACATATTGTTTCTGCGTTGAGTGAGATTATTTTCCTGTAGGTCAAAAGATGACATGCAGTACATTGACTGAGTAACAATAAATCGGTGAATCTGGAGAGGAGGACGGATGTTGTTTCATTGAGTGCAAAAGCTCAAATGAAAGACGTGGAGGTTTCTTCTTTGCACAGACATAAAGGAGGTCTTTAGGAGGTTGACCTCACGCCGTGCTGTACTTTAAGGATGAACCCCTCATGACACTCATCATAGTTCGACAATGAGGCTTTATTTTATTTCAGTTTAACACTCACTGCATCACGCATCATGTGTACAGTGAACAGGGGCGGCGGGATCTGACAAACCAACCAGGAGACTCTGGTGAGGTTTGTCTGTAGAGATTTCCTGTTAATTGATTTGTTACTTGCTAATGGTGCTTACAGACTCAATGCCATTTAAAGTCATTAGATTGCTGTGTTTTTCACCATTACATGTCAACATGCTTGCTTGTGTTGTACTTACTCTCAGATGTACGCTGCTTTTGACAAATGCGTCTGCTAAATGAATTGTAGAGCTGTAAAGATGTTGTTGTTTGAACAGAGCATGAGTGGTTGGTGAATGGAGGTCACACATTACTTCACTCGGAAAAATCCCAGAACAATATCAGATCTCTAAAGTCTCAGATCTCGTCTAGATTTTCTTCTGATTTGAGGGCTTTTGCTGGAAATATCCAGAAACTGTTGTGAATGACCATAACATGCTTTTTTTTTTAAAGATTTATTTTTGGGCTTTTTGTGCCTTTTTAATGGAGAGATAGGACAGTGGATAGAGTCGGAAATCAGGGAGAGAGAGAGTGGGGGATGACATGCGGGAAAGAAGCCACAGGTGGGATGTGAACCCGGGCGGCCCGCTTGAGACGACAGCCTCCATACATGGGGCGCGCGCACCAACCACTGTGCCACCAGCGCCCCACCATAACATGCTTTTAGTGTCATTTAAAGTGTTAATCACTGATGATTTATGTTGATGAAACTTTCATAAGAAAGGCATCGTTTTGGAAATTTGTCTGATTCAGAAATTCCATTTAGAAAATCCCGGACAGCTGTGAGTGTTTGAAAAAGAAGAACACTTGTGAACACTTTGTTGCTAATGGTTTTTGTGGTGTTATTTTATTCTCGTTGTATGTTTTAGTTTGTTGTTCTTTGGTATAGTTCTTTGCTTGTTGTTGTCATGCTTTCTGTCCTCTGTTGAACTTTTGCTCAGGTGAGAGATCTATATAAAAGAAGACAGGAAACCTGAAACGCTGTTGCTGAGCTTTCATCTCTTGGGAATTCAATGAGTCAACAGCAACATGGCTTCCTCTCAGTTGTAGGTGGAAATCTGTCACTCTTGAGCTGATAGAATATCTCAGCAGAGGATTAGTCTTTTATACCAAAACATAGAAGAACGAGGAGAGGGCCACAACAGTGGGAGTCACATCATTTTTTCAATGGTTGTGTTAATTGGTTTTACTTTGCAGTACACTCAGCGAAGAATCTGTCTGGTAAAGTTATCAAAATGTTCCATAGTTTTGGATGCCACAGTTTTTGAGACGATACAATCCCTGTTATTTTAATGATTAATAGTTTGAACCAAATCTTTTGAAAAACTTCAGATCTTCAGTCATATTTTAAACCAAAATCTGTAGAGGGTGACAGAAAGAGACCCGTGTCTTTTTTTTTCACAAATACAATGCTTTCAGTACTGTAATGTTACCAGTGTATTTGTGCAATAAGATGATGTTCACGAGTTTGCCTGGGAAAAAAAAGAAATGACCCAATAGGATTTCTGTTTTTGTTGCTGTGGATTTGTAAACAGGTAGCGATATTGTTTGAGTTTTATTAGTATCATATCTAAGTTTGAAAGTCTGGTTTCCGTGACATCACTTCTCTAGTCTAGTGTTGTCCGGGCTTTTAAATTTGAATAACGCTGCTCAGGTTGTTATGCCACCTTTTTTTCCCATCATGGCTATGAGAACATAGAATTATGTTTTAAAGTGCGCTTCAGACAGTATTAAAACTTCATGTCTGGGCAAAGCTGAGAATTGATCCTGTTAATCATCAAAAATCTGCTTATAAAGCATTAAAACATCCTGCAGCCACTTCACCTTGTTTAAAACAAAGTTAGTCATATATTCAACACATCTTTGTTTTTAGTGAACTATAGTTGTGCAAAATGCAAAAAAAAAAACCACATTCTGAAAGCAGAATGTCAGAGTTTCCTGTGTTACTAAGATGAACAGATAGAAACATGAATCATTTTATGGTAGTGACTAGACAGCTGTAGGATATTGTTTCTCTTGAATGAATCTTGACTTTCTATGCTACCTCATGACATTGAGCTGCATGTTTACTCCTGAGATAGAAATATGTGTTATTTTAATGAATGCGTCTCTCTCTTAGGCTGTTCGGTCATTCAATCTATGATTTTATAAAGGCAGCTGATTCTTTCATATGGGAAGCTGAACATTTACTAAAATGGTTGATCAGTTATCAAAAGTTTGAGACGATCTAATCCCTAATAAGAAGCTCTGGATAATGATCGTATGGCGTCACCTGCCGTGTTATTCTGACAGGTTTCCTCCAACGGCGCAGTCGATGGGTAAAATGATCTTATTCAACACGTTCTGAGATCTTACCTATAGTTATTTAAATTGGCAGGACTGGTGATTATTTTTCTTATTTAAATGACTAATCCAAACACTCGTCTTTGCTAGAAGTTTCTGAGGTGATGTCTTGAAAGTTGATTGTTCCATCTGACAAAAGGTCCAAAACCCCAAATGACTCAGTTTTCCATAGTTTGAGGTTAAACAGCAAAAAAATATATATATTTCGGTTATCTGCTGGAAAAATATCAAGATGATTAATCGCAAATCAAAATAGTTTCATGTGAATTTTCCGTCAGTTGACTAATCAATTATTGAGCTAATCCTTTATCTGTGTTTTACATTTGGTTTGTTCTGCGGTGCTGCACGTCCGCCTCATGTTGCCTCAGGCTGTGTAACCGCAATCTGAGCACACATCTGTGATGGGAGCCAAAATCTGTGCGTGTGAAATCCTCTGATGTTGCCAGGCCTCCAAATGTGTCCTGTTGCATCGCATTTTGTTTCACAGGAGCTCCGATCTGCCTCGGCTTCTTTGAACTGTCTTCTCTCTCTTCTGTGGTGCTGCTGCAGCGGCAACCTGGCAATACAAATAAGTGTCTGTGCGCTGGCGGCTTATAGATGGAGACAGTCTATTTGTAGAGCCTGTGGCTAGGTTAATCCCTAA